TTCCTTCATTAAGGGATGTTGGAGTCTCTGGGAGAGCCTGTTTTTGGAGGGAAAGCTTTGCACCGCCCGTCAACGCACGTCAGGACAGGTCTTAACCCCAGGTCTGATGCCACTGTTGCGTGGTGCGCCTTGGAGCCTAAAACATTACCCTTAGGGTTTAGGGTTTTAGGGTTTAGGGTTTAGGGTTTAGGGTTTAGGGGTTAGGGTTCGACCTGATAAGGGTCCAGGCATCTCCTGAGGAGGGTCCGGAATCTCCTAGGGAGAGTCCTTGGGCCTCTTTGGGGTCTCCGAACCCCTACATCTTGAGGTTCCCAAAAGTCTTAGGACCCTTAGGGTAAGCCAGTCCTAGAGCCTATGATCTGTGAGCCTGAAAGCCTCAAGCAGTCACGCATTAAACCGCAACGCCCTGAAGCCTAAACCCTAAAAACCCTAAGCCCTAAGCCCTAAAAGCCCTAAGCCCTAAACCCTAAACCCCCAAAAAAAACCCTAAAACCCTAAAGCTCTTCAGCTCTAAAGTCATGGGACACTTCAGCTCCACAGCCCGAGATCCCAATTGCAGGCTGCTGCGACAAAACGTCACCGTGCCCGTGGAGCCAAGCCCGCTTCCCACCGGACCTTTCTGCGCCTGGGCTTTGGGGTGTGAGGTTTTGGGAGTTGGGGTTCTTGCTTGCAGTGGGGCTATAAGTCCCCTATTTTGGGTTATAAGTTCAGTCACCCTACTTATGAACCCCATGTATAACTGCCCATGAACCTCCAAGTGGGCTTGAAGGGTTTTCGAGTTTGTGGTTCAAGGTTCGTGCTTTCGCTTTCCTGACCAGTCAATTGGGGGCTTCGGGGGGCTTTACGGAGCTCCGCAATCGAAGCTCCCTGAACCTAAACCCGAAACCCTGAACCCTAAACCCTAAAACCGTAAACCCTAAAACCCTAAACCCTAAAACCCTAAAACCCTAAACCCTGAAACCCTAAAACCCTAAACCCTAAACCCTAAATACGGAGCAGTGCTGCTGCTTTTGAAAGGTAAGGTTGAGACGGCTTTGGATGTTCGGGTTCCATTTCCTACACCAAGAAGGCTAAGGAATCCAGAACCCCTACTAGGTAGGCCTTTGGGACATTTGATATTTTCTGCTTTTGGGCTTAAGAGGATCTTATAAACGAATGTTTTTTGCAGAAGCTTTGAGGTACCAACCTAGCCTAGAGGCCCTGGGCCCTAGACCCCAAGACAAGAATCCCAGCCCCTAAACCCTAAACCCTAAACCCTAAACCCTAAACCCTAAACCCTAAACCCTAAACCCTAAACCCTAAACCCAGGGCTTTCAACCTCCGAGCTTTGAATCATGAAGATCAACAAGCAAGGCTTCGACATCGACTATGACTACGCCGGGGCGACCGTGTTTCGAAGCTGAAAGCAACGGTCTTGAGATTGGGGCTTAAGGCTGGATTACTGGAGTCTAGGGCCTGTTTTGGGTTTTGTCCCGTGCGTACACTCTTTTGGTGACCCTTGTGTTAGGCGCCGGCTTCGAGGCTTTGGCTTCTCGAGCCATCGTCGTATCAACTCCAGACACTGTGGCCTGCCCACGCACTTTCAAGCAGATTCACGGAGAAAACTAGTGCGAGGCTGTTTATGTCCAAGCATGTTGCGGTCACAAAAATCCAACCAACAAACGAACGCCCCCCCCTAGACCCTAAACCCTAAACCCTAAACCCTAAACCCTAAACCCAAGAACCCCCCCCCTTCCCGAATTCCAAGGGAGAGCAACACCACGGCTGCCGACTCCGTTGCTTGCCAAGCGCTTTGTGCGGCCAGCCGCCCGGCGACGACTTTGCGGTTTAGGGTTTAGGGTTTAGGGCTGAAGCCAAGACCGGGCCCACCCAGCATCCACACCCCAAGCTATCAGTGATGCGACAGCTGTGATTGTCGTTCTGAATCTCATGGCGGAATAGCAGCATGATGGCAATGTGCCGCAGGTGCTTCGTTATATGGCATTCGCTAGGAGGGGATAAGCCTTTCAGAAATGACCGGCAGAAACTCTCCCACCGTTACAGTGCAGTCTTACCAAGAAGAAGCTGCGCATCAGAAATGCAGCAAGAAGATGGCCCTGACCGCCAAAAGTCTTCCAAAGCCAAGACTCCCGGGTGACCAGCCCCACCCCCCGCCCAAGAGATGTAGATTTAAAGGACCTGCACCCTAAACCCCAAAACCCTAAACCCTAAGCCTAAACCCTAAACCCCAAACCCAAAACCCGAAACCCTCCTAAACCCCTTTAGTAAAGGACCCTAAGCTCAAAGGCGCCACGTGCCTCCATTTCCGCTACGTCTACGACGCTTCTTCTCCCGACTTCCAGCGCTGCGACCTTCTCTCCTCAGGCTCTCTGCAGTGGGATGTGGGTTTAGGGTTTAGGGTTTAGGGTTTAGGGTTTAGGGTTTTGGGTCGGGTCGATCCGGTGCGGTGGATTCCAAGAGAATCCTTGCGGGGGATTCATGTCGGTTCAGGGTGTACTTGGAGTCTCATGGGTAGTTATAAGTGGGGTTACAAGTCCCCTAAAATGGATTATAAGTGCAGTTACCCTACTTAGAACCCCCCAGTTATAACTACCCAAGAACTAGGGTTTAGGGTTCAGGGCTTAGGGTTTAGGGTCTTGTGTTTGGGCAAAAGTCTAGGATTCAAGATTGGGACTCCCAGCGGATCACCTCCTCCACTGGGTAAAAAGGCACGGCCCTCCTCACCTATCTTGGTCCTAAGCCTAACCGCCAGGAACGGTTTAGGGTTTAGGGTTTAGGGTTTAGGGTGTAGGGCTCATTGCCAGGAACGGTTTAGTGTTTAGGGTTTAGGGTTTAGGGTGCAGGGATCATTCTCGAGAACCTTTTGCGTCAAAATTGGCTCACAGCCTTTATCCCTGATCCCTGCAGCCCTGATCGCACCAAACCCCGCAAGCCCCCCAAACCCAGACTCCTTCGCCCTCCAAGCCGCCCAATCCCCCCTAAACCGGGTACTTGTTAAGGGGGTTACTTGAAGTTACCATTTAGGGGTTTAGGGTTTAGGGTTAAGGGTTTAGGGTTAGGGATTGTTGTTAAGGGGGTTACTTGAAGTTACCAT